CGTCTGGCAGACAACCGTCACCCCTTTCAGAAAGTGCCAAACTGGCAGCTGTGACCAAAGCGACACGGAATATATGCCCACTCAAACTGCTACGACTTATATATCAGCTACATATATTTATAAACTTCACCGTGGCCCCGCCTTTCCGTGCACGGCCCAATGGTTGCGCGCCGTGACAACTGCAAATTTAGCTCCGCCTCCCGACCGGCAGTATTTAAGACCGGGAGCCATCGGTGCAATCAGTTCAACTCGAAACGGCAACGCAGTCAGAAGCGTCAACTCCACTTCTGCGATCGGGTAACTGACATAGTTTCCGCAAGCCTCCAGCGAACGCATCTTCCGCAACCCAGCAACCGGCCGAGCCAGTCGATCCTACCGGCACACGCAGCGCCGCATCACCGCCCAGACCGGGACAGCCAGTGCTTGAATATTATACGTATATTCTGTGTTCTGTATATTGACTTTAAACTTTTCAATATATACAATCATACAGTTTCGTGTGGTTTGTCTATTGAAGTATTGACGACAATCCCACAACATCTAACCCATAACAGCTGCTCTGTACATATTTCTTCTCTACATACTTCATAATCTTAGGAATTGTTAAGTTCATAATGCAGGGACCTTCCTGAGAAACCTGTGGTCCCTGTGGAAGTACACACAGAACATATCTGGTCTTTATGGAACCTAAGCACTCATTACTGTGTTCACACATGCCCATCATGACTTTGCATCGTAACACAAACAAACCCAGTCTAAAACCCCATAATTGTATCTATAAACACAATCCATCTTCACAATTGTCTCCCAAGTGGTCTCCTTTCAGATTTTCTGTCAAAATCTTTGTACGCATTTCTCATTCACACATGTGTACTATATGACCTACCCATATCACTCTCCTTGAATTGATCCCTCTCCAATATAATATAGCAAACTCTGATAATATGAAGAACCATGTACACTCCCCAGATGGATGATGGAAACTAAAGTAAGTTTGGTATGAAACATTGACAGATAATAAAATTCTTCTGCACACACAAGCACAAAACACTTACCATCCTTTCTCTCACAGCAGGGAATATTTCTTCAGCTCTTTGTAGCAGAATTCTTGGCATTGAGAATGTAGAATCTTCCATAGCCTCAAAACATTTTCTTATCACACGTTTTGTGGGATTAAAATGAGCTGATTTACTACAATCCTAGTGATGTAGCATCACATTTCTAACAGGCGTACTAGTATCTAGCCGCGAATATTTGCCCAAGTCTGTAAGGAAACATGCTAATAATTGTGTATAAAAACACAGTGATGTTGCTTTCTTTGTTCTCACAGTAGAGACCGCATAGACTACAAAGCTTATGGTCTTATCATACGTTGTGTAGTCTTTGACAGATTGTTGCTCAGCTTCGAACGTCTCCAACGTTTCGAAGGCAGCTGGTTCACCCATTCTGAGTGAACCTCTTTCTTCCAAAAAGCCGGTAGCAAGCTACCAGACTGCACGGAGTTACATCTTAGAAACAGCAAACCTACTCTACAGATTTACATCGTGGTGAAGCAAAATAGTATTCGCTATGCATTTGCATACCCTGCTTCTCCAACCAGTTCACAATATATATAATAAGCTCTCACGACTTCCTTTGTATGTCGGATTGAATTGTGAAGCAGGCAAGAAAACGCATAAGCACGGTAAATATGTGCATTCTAATAGGCACATGACCCTCAGAAATGGAGTTGAGACATTTATAAGAATCCCAAGTAGAAATTGCAACAGCGGAATATCACGAACCCCTTAAACACGGTAAAAATGTGCATTCTAATGAGAACATGACCCTCAGAAAGGGAGCTGAGAAGTTTAGAACAATCCAAGTAGAAACTGCAACAGCGGAATATCACGAACCTCAGGGGTGTTCGCTTCTAAAATTTGTCAAAATATGACGAAACAGAATTTCTTTCGAATGACGGCCTAAAGAATACCCACAACTTACATACCTATATATTAAAAAAGTAAAGTCCGGTAATAATACTGCAAGAGATTATGGTACTCTGTATCTCGGTGCTAATGATCGTAAGGATTGTAAGCGTTCTCACACCGGACCTGAGCAACGCTGAGCAACACCCAAAATCTTCAACGGAAATTTGGGATCCTCTGATTGGTTCACACTTATGCGATTCGATTGGATGTGATAGGTGTATAATGATCGATTCCAGTCGTAGCCAGACTACCTAGTTCATGTTGATGAATATAGATGGTCGTTCTGCATGTTTCCTTCCCGCCTGTGGGAGTTTTACGGGGAAAAAATGACATTAGCACGAAAATAAAAAGACATAACCTTTGTGCAGGTAAAACTTTTTATGGACTTAAGAAATATCTGAAGTCCAATTTGTTCTCAAAGAAAACTAAATTGGTGACGCACAAGACACTTGTGAGACCAATATTAACATATGCCTCTGAAACGAGGAAGCTATCCAGGGCAGATGAAAGATCATTAGGTCTCTTTGAAAGAAAAGTTCTGAAATGCATTTTTGGAGCTGTGCATAGTAAGTATACATGGTGGAGGAGATATAACAATGAATTATTTAAGCTATTTAATGAGCCAGGTATCACTAAATATATAAAAATAAACAGATTAAACTGGGCTCGACATATTGTGACGTGTTGCCTGAAAGCCGGAATAGCGGTGCCAGATTGGAAGTTGATTTCCTAGACAGTGGGTATTAACAGAGCATGTTCCCATGTCAACGGGTTACCATGGGATTGTTATACATAACTTCATGACGTTCATGACAACAATTGACTAGGTATATAGGTTACTACAGAATTGGAAGTGTGCTTAAGCGGACTGTTACTGCAGATAGGAAGTACAGAACTCTTTTACGTGGTGTCTGATGTCACGGCCGTCCCGGCCACCTGGAAATTGTAACCAGAAGCAGCAGAGAACAGAAATCAGAAAAGCTCAGACACATAAGTTGTCAGAAGTAAAGTGTTTATTTTATGTGGTGTGTTTACAGTAACCTTTAGAGTGTCATCATCGTTTGTAGATACAAAGTGTTATAGTTACAGTAAGATTGAAGGTGTTACAATTAACTGTAGTTCCACCTGGTGAACATCTAATAAATCGACTCCCTAACCAAACCGGCATCTAAAGTCACTAATATATGTGGCAGTATAATATTATACGCATGGAAAATAGTGGGACAGTCAAGAAGGTGTTTGGTACCAGACTTGAAGGGACTAAGAAAATTGGAAGGCCCAAACTGGTATGAGAGGATGGTGTGATCCGGGATATCAAGACCCTTTGAGCAGATAACTGGGGGAATGTGACTATGAATAGAGAATACTAGCTTCTGAAGCTTCTGAAAAATGCCAGGGTTCACATATAATGATGACGACAGCAGAGATTAATATATATATATATAGTGTGACATGTTGCGCAATTGAGAACCCCCCCCCAAGCAGTGACGTGGGGGGTGAGTCAGCGCTGCGTCATCCCCCCTCCGCACGGTGACGTAAGACGGCGTGAGGTAACAGCGTTGCTACGTAACAGGCACACACAGCCACTATATAAGAGAGCTGCGCTGCCTGCGAGGAGGGGTTGTAATGTGGCCGTCGGCGAGTTCAGTAGTAGTCGAGTTAACTTGTAGCCGTCCCCGGAGACAGTTAAAGTGTATCAGCAGCCGAAGACAGTTCTCCAGTCAGCAGTGAAGGAGTTAGTGTGTTATAAACAGCATCTGCGAGTCGAGTTGAAATATAGCAGCCGTCGCGAAAAGAGTACCGGACGTGTGTGTTAGTGAGAATTAATTGGGAGTGTGTAACACAGTGACACTTGTATAGCTCCCGTACTGTGAAACGTGTAGTCTACTGACAATAGCGTGATTTGACTTGCGAACAGGGTTATAAATTGTGAAACCCCGCAATATTGTTAAAATTAATTGTAGCCGAGATTTGTAGGTTGTTAAATAAACAAATTAACAATCCGAACGGCGTCTTCAGTAACGGATCACGTTACAATATATATGCAGCAGGTTCAAGTCCTGATGAGGTCTTTGGATATTTTTCAATTGACCTAATCCTTCCGGCTGCACTATGGCGCTGGGGTTCACTCAGCCTCTAAGAGAAATGAGTGCCAGGAATTAATTACATAATTTTACTGGGGAGTAAAGCATGCCTGGTGCACAAGGCTGACAAACTTACTTCCATCTTTGAGCCGATTGTCAAGATAATGTGGGACCCTCAACATCTCACAACCCTATGGGCCTTTGCGGCCTGTTACATGGATAGCTTTACTTTATATTACTTTCTCTTTTACCCCTATGTAAAAAAAAGTCATGTATATATTCTGTTTTGTCCATATCTCGGTAGGACACTGTACTGGTAAATGACTGACACTGTATACAGCAGTGAAAGGACTGAGGTGAAGATAGATGAAAGGTAAGTACTGGGACATGAGGGTGTACTATGGGAAGGAGTCTATTAATTAGCCCTTAAAAAAAGTAAAGGTATCCCTGTAACAAGCCATGGAGGCCCATGGGATTGTGAAATGATGAGGTTCCCAAATTTTCTAGGCATTCGGCTCATAGATGGCGGTAAGGTTGTCAGCCTTATGCACCAGCTGCCCTTTAACCCCAAGAATATTCCTGGTACTCATTTCTGTTAGAGGCTGAGTTGACCCCAGGGCCATAGTGCGGCTGGAAGGACTAAGTAAATTGAAAAAAAAACCAAACGATTTCATCGGGATTTGATACCACGACCTTCTGGCTTGTAGCTTATTGCCTTGAACAACTACACTCCTGCGTCCCCATTTATTAGCCCTTTAATACTTTATATAAATTGATTTGTAATGTTTCTTTTCCACAGTTTCATATTTTAAGAATATTAATGTATTAACTATAATAATTGGCTTTAATATTTGAAAAATGTGTCTGGTTGTTTGTATAACCTCATTTGAATTTCAGAGAGTGTCTGATGTCACTCGAGATCTTAGGTCGGTGTTTGAACACATCATATATCCAGCTCTGCGTCTCAGCTGCTTGCCACCGAAGAGGTTTGGAGAAGATGCCACCATTTTACAGATTGCTAGTTTGCCAGATCTGTACAAAGTGTTTGAGCGCTGTTGAGGTGTATCCTGGTGTTTGGTTTGTAAATTGTATGTGGAAGGGGCATAGCTCTGTAAAAAGTAAATAAATGAGAAATAAATCTTTGGAAAATAGTTACACAGTGTATAATCATACTACTTCCATGATTCGCAAACATGAGAGATTTAAAAATGAAGTATATTAGCGCTGTTGAGGAGTATGCTGGTGTTTGGTTTGTAAATTGTACGTGAAAGGGGCATTGTTCTGTAAAAGAAGTATAAATGAGAAATAAATCTTTGGAAAATAGTTACACAGTGTATAATCATACTACTTCCATGATTCACAAACATGAGAGATTTTAAATGAAGTATATTATTTTTGTTTCAGTTAGGATATCTCAGTAAATTGATTGGGTTTGAGTCCTAGGACAGGCAGGAATGTTCAGTTATCATGTCAAGACCAACTACAAGGCCCACCCAGATTCCAGTGTAACATGAATTAGAGGCCCTTTCAACACAGAGAGACCAACAGGAGTGTGGAAATAATCATCTCCCCACAGAGAGACCAACAGGAGTGTGGAAGTGATCACTTCCCCACAGAGAGACAAACAGGAGTGTGGAAGTGATCACTTCCCCAAAGAGAGACCAACATGAGTGTGGAAGTTATCACATCCCCACACAGAGACCAACAGGAGTGTGGAAGTGATCACTTCCCCACAGAGAGACCAACAGGAGTGAGGAAGTGATCACTTCCCCACAGAGAGCAACAGGAGTGTGGAAGTGATCACTTCCCCACAGAGAGACCAACAGGAGTGTGAAGTGATCACCTCCCCACAGAGAGAGCAACAGGAGTGTGGAAGTGATCACTTCCCCGAAGAGAGAGAAGGCACAATAGGAGTGTGGAAGTGATCACTTCCCCACAGAGAGACCAAGAGGAGTGTGGAAGTGATCACTTCCCATACAGAGAGACCAAGAGGAGTGTGGAAATGATCACCTCCCCACAGAGAGACCAACAGGAGTGTGAAGTGATCACCTCCCCGCAGAGAGAACAACAGGAGTGTGGAAGTAATCACTTCCCCACAGAGAGGGACAGGAGTGTGGAAGTGATCACTTCCCCAAAGAGAGACCAACATGACTGTGGAAGTTATCACTTCCCAACAGAGAGAGCGACAGGAGTGTGGAAGTGATCACTTACCCACAGAGAGAGC